GAATCATTCTTTATCTGAGAAGAAGTCTACCAACAAGAAGAAGCTGAAATTCAACTTCTGGAAAACCTCACAGTTGATTGAGAGCATTTGGTTGCAAAAATCAAGGCAAGTGTGGTTCAAAAGTGGGGATAAAAACACCAAATACTTCCATATGATTGCGAGCACAAGACAGAGGAAAAATTCAATTCGTAACCTATTCATCAATGAAACATATTTAGAAGATCCGGAGCAGATAAAAAGAGCAGTCATGTCTCATTTTCAAAATCTTTTTTCCAAAAAATGGCCTTCAAGACCCACATTCTCAGGACCTTTTCAGCAGTCGCTTTCTGATATGGATGCATCTTTGCTGGAACAACCTTTTTCAAAAACTGAGATTTTGGATGCAATAAATCAATGTGAAGGAAATAAGGCTCATGGTCCTGATAGCTTTAATATGAAATTCATCAAAAAATGTTAGGCCTTCATAAAAGTAGATATTTGTCTCTTTCTCAATGAATTCCATCTAAATAGCAGGATCAAGAAAGGTCTGAATTCTACCTTCTTAACCTTTATTCCAAAAATTCCAAACCTATCTTCTTTATCTAACTACAGACCCATCAGTTTGATAGGTTGTATTTATAAGGTTCTAGCTAAGGTTTTATTAAGAAGATTGAAATTTGTTATGCCAAAACTGATAGATGAAACTCAATCAACTTTTGTAAAAGGGAGGCAAATATTGGATGGTATTCTCATTGCCAATGAAGTTGTTGATTTGTGGAAGCGCAATTCTTTAGGAGGACTTCTTCTTAAATTGGATTTTCAGAAGGCTTTCGACAGTGTCAATTGGAACTTTCTTTTTCATATTCTTTAAAAATTCGATTTTGGTGAAAAATGGATCTCATGGATTAAGGAATGTGTTTCTTCCCCTCATATTTCTGTATTGGTGAATGGATCCCCTTCTCAAGAATTTCCTACTCAGAGAGGTTTAAGACAAGGTGACCCTCTCTCCCCCTTTCTCTTTAATCTTGTGGTTGAAGGGCTAAATATTCTCATCCAAAGGGCCAAAAACCTCAATCTTATCAAGGGAGTAGATATTAGTGGCTCAGGGTTGAACCTATCACATCTGCAATTCGCAGATGATACCCTTATGCTCTGCAATCCTGATTGGGATAAGATAATAAATCTGAAAAGAATTCTCAATTGCTTTGAGTTAATTTTCGGATTGAAGATTAATTACCAAAAGTCTGTAATTTGTGGAGTTGGGATAAACAGGGATTTCACCTCTCAAGTAGCGGAATTCTTTAACTGCAGGGTGAGTTCGCTACTAGTCAATTATCTTGGAATGCCTTTTGGGTCCAACCCAAAAAGAGTGGCTACTTGGGAGCTTATCATAAACAAAGTGAAGAAAAGACTAGCCTTATGGAAGAGGAGGTATCTTTCTCTTGGAGGACGAATTACTTTGATTAAATTTGTACTTTCTTCTCTTCCAATCTATTATATATCCTTTTTTAAAATTCCTACCCAAGTGGCAAACTTAATTGATAAATATCAGAGATATTTTTTATGGGGGGATAGTGATGGCAAAAGGAAATTGCATCTTCTCAACTGGGAGGCATGTTCAGTTAGCAAACACTTTGGAGGTTTAGGCTTCAGAAAGACTGAGGAAGGTAATGATACTCTACTATGCAAATGGTGGTGGAGATTTGCCACCGAAAAAAGTTCCTTGTGGAGGAAAGTTCTATGTGCCAAAAATAATGTGAATGAAGATTGTTGGTTACCAAATGGTTCAAGCTTCAAATATTCATCTGTAGTGTGGAAAAGTATCTCATCTATGAAAAGGTATGGATCTAGAGTAATTGCATTATTTTTGGAAAACATTCAGTTCAAACTAGGTGATGGTAAAAGAATTAAATTTTGGTTGGATGCATGGGTCTCATGTACTTCTTTGTCCAACCTTTATCCTAGACTTTACTCTCTAGCAACAAGCAAAGATTCATTTGTCCATCAATATTTGTATCAGACTACGGATAATCAAACTCATTGGAATATCACATACAGGAGAAATTTGAGAGCATGGGAAGATGATTTGCATCTTAAGCTGATCAGTAGATTGCCGCAACCTCTCAGCGTTAATAATAATTGTGTGGATCATCTGCTATGGGCTTCTATCCTATCCGACTCCTTTACAGTTAAATCTCTTTATGAAATATTTGAAAATTCTCTCCGTTTAACCCCTTTTCATATTATGAAGATGTGGAAATCAGTAGCACCTCCCAAAATTAAAGCCTTTGGTTGGCTTATTTGGTGGAATCGGATTGCCTCTTCGGATCTCCTTGCTCGCAGGTTCATTATCCCCACAATCAATCACTGTGCATTCTGCAGTATTGATAAGGAATCTGCATTACACTTGCTCTTGCATTGTAATTCTGCTTGGAAGGTTTGGGCTGAAATTATTTGTTGGTGGGGCTCCTAATGGGTCTCTCCTAGCTCCTTACAAGACCTGCTCTTATGGTGGTATGGTCAAAAATTCAAAAACCTGGGTAAACTCATCTGGGAAGCAATTCCATTGGCTGTGCTTTGGAGTTTATGGATTACAAGAAACGACATGGTATTCAACTCTAAAGTTTTTGTTTGGGGAAATATTGTGGATAGCATCAAGATCCACATGGGTGAAGTTTCCTAGTCATTTGCCTAATTACACAATCCATGATTTCATGCACTGTTTGGATGGATTGAAGGGCCATAAATTGTAGATCCCAGCTGGATGTCGACCTCTTTTGTTTTTATTTTCTTCATTTCCAAATTTGGTTGAGGTCTCATCAACCTTTTGTATCGGCCTTGGCATGCATATGATTGGGCTCAGTTATAGATGCCAACCTAGTTGGGATGTATTCTTGAGCTATGATGCAATTCAGTCAAGTCCTTATTTTCTCTCTTATTATCAATAAAATTCTTTCTTTGCTGATCAAAAATAAATAAATAAATAATTTAAAAATATGATTATTTACATGATCAAGAGATTCAAAATGAGAATGACTTATCTCTAGTTGAAATTTTAATTGGACCAAACAATTAAGGTCTCTTATCGGTAAGAATCATTAAACGGAGATCTCTTACCGATAAAAGTTTATAAAAAGATTCAATTGGACCAAGAGTTAGAATAATAGGCCAAGAAATTTCATAAATTTTACCAGTAAGAGATCTCAATTGTTTAGTCTCAACTTTCAACTGGAAACAAATTAAATCCATTCAAAATAATCAACTATATGACAATGATGACGGTCAACCATGCTAGCTCCTCCATCTAAACCAGACAAATCCCATATCTAAACATGTTATTATTAGTGTTGAAAAACCTTGATCTTAGGGAGGTAAAAACAGCTGTTAAGCCGTGAGATTGTTGAGCATTGTGTGATTAAATATTTAAAACTAGTGGGGTTTTGAGAGGCACTAAGAATTTGTACCTGCGTCTAGCACGGATCTTCTGTCTCCCATTTTCTGCGTTTCTCAATCCTCAACATCATGGGCTAATAATCAATTAAAAACTTAGGTTATGTTTGTTTGGTTGGACATGAACTAGAGATTGAACTAATAGTCTAATAAAATTATTAATTCGATATTTGATTAAACAATTGAAATACAGACTAAAAATACATCCGGATATGGTATCTCACATATGATGGACTATTCAATCCCATAGAGGGAGGTGGGATATAAATTGAAGGACAAAGCCAAAGCCTGGACTATTAGTCATTTCTTATAATCCTAACTCAATCCAAACATAAGATAGGTTGTACAATCCAAAAGATTCGTAATCCTAAACTTATTAGTCATGAGAATGCTAATTTAACCTAATTCAGTCCACCAAAACAAACTTGACCTTAATTATTTTGACATATCATGTGAACATGAGAGAATTTGATACCACAACTGGCCTCCTAATTTTTTTGGAAAATTTACGGCCTCCAAAAATTCTGGCCCTTACACTAGATCCACTCCCCAACCCCAAAATAAAAAAATAAAATAAAATAAAAAAGGGCAAATTACATATACACCCCTCGAGGTTTGGCTAAATTACAGATACCCCCTGAGGTTTCGGAAATTACATCCCGCCCCCTGAGGTTTGTATTTTTATAACAATTTGCCCCCTGAGGTTTATATTTCATAACAAATTACCCCCTAATTTCTTATGCAAATATAGCATTCAGGAGGGAATTTGTAATTTCTCAAACCTCAGGGGGCATCTGTAATTTAGCCAAACCTCGAGAGGTGTATATGTAATTTGCCCAATAAAAAAATTTGACCCCAAAATAAAAAAAAAATAAAAAATAAAAACTTATTGAAGCGTCAAATAAAAAGAGCCCATTCAAAGCAAAGAAAATTAATTTTTAAATAAATACTTTGCCATGATTTATTCAATCTTTGTTGCAGTTTGACACAAACTTTTTTAGTTAGCTTTTTGGAGTTGGGATTTTTTAATTTAGAGCTAAAAAATTCATTTGGCAAAATTTTTGATTTTTTTTTACTTTTTTTTAGAGGGGGGAAAAACAGTGAAATGATTATGATTATGATTTTGATGTGACATTTTATCTTAATGATTTATTTAGTCTATTTTGTCTTTTAAACTTTTTTTAGTCCCAATTGGGATAGCTAAACAAAGCAGTATAATTTTAGATTATTATTTTAGTATTTTTGCCTTATTCATTACTACAAAAATAGTTAAAGATCATACTTTGACCAAAAAAATATCTCACTTTTATTGGAAGTGTGATAAAAAAAAATTATATTGATATTTTAATCACACTTAATTTGATTGAGTGTGATAATATTTATTTTTTATGTCACTTTTTAATTAAGTGTGATTATATATACATTATTATTTTTTAATCACACTTTTTAAATAAGTATAATTATAAATATATACATATATATATATATATGTATATTTATTTAATCACACTCCAAATAGATGTGATTGTATAAAATATTCTAATTTAATTTTTATATAAAATATACCATTCCCAAATTTGCGCCTATGTTCTACCCATGAATAACAGAGGACGACTCTTTCCATTCCAAACAAGATTGAATTTCACAAGCACACATGTCTTTTCTCCTTGCCTTCTGTTCCCGGTTGGGAGGCTTGGTTGGTGCTTGAAGAAGGGTCGTTATGCTCAGTGAGTCGGAACTAGAGGTTTGGTTTTCATAGCCATTGTACTTGAATACCTAGCTATTGAAGTAACTCTATCTCTCTCTCTCTCTCTCTCTCTCTCTCTCTCTTCTGTTTCAAACTCTGTATTGTATAATCATCATCAAACCCTAACTCTTGATTTGTTCTTCAATAATTGTAATTCTTCGTATTCGCAAAGCTTCAGTTCGTATATTAATGTTGAACTCGTTCTCTGTTTGATTTGGATCTGTGTTTTGATTTGGTTAGGTTTATCTGTTTTGTTTTCGATTAGCGTTTTGGTTTAATGGTTAGGGTTTTGTTTGAGACCTTTGTTTTTTTGCTAGTTTTTGATGAATATGGGGGAATTATTTTGTCTCCATCGATTTGCTCTTTTGAATACTTGTTTAAGGTGGTTCTGTTTGGTTACTGAGAAAGTGCAAGGTTATTGAGAAAAATTTAACAGGAGATAATGAATTGCCTTCTCTTTTACTTTTGAAAATTTCATAGTTTGCCGATAAATTTCATTTTATTTTATTTTTTAATATTACAGTTACTAAACCTTTAGGTTAACCCCAAGTAGGCTAAGTTGGGTTCTATTTGGTTATTGAGAAAATGATAGAATTTCCACTTTATGCCTCAGAATACGAAGACGCGCGCGCGCGCGCTCTTTTTCTCTTGCTCTTGATATCGCTCTCGCTCTCGCGCTACCGTCACAATTTGTCTGTAGCAGTGGCGGCAACGACTTCCCATTGGTTCTCCCTTTGATATCCAGGTGTATCTCTCATCTGCTCTACGCTGTTGTTTTCTTCTCATTTTCTGGGAGGATGCTTGTAGTTTCTTTTTTTTTTTTTTTTCCTTCTCTTTTCCCTAAGAAAATTGTATTTTATTTATTTATTTATTTAACTTTATTGTTAAAGACTGAATCTTAGTGGAAGATCAAGAAATGTTATGTAGGGTTGTTTCTCAAGGTTGTTAGTTGAGATAGATGTGCTTCAGTCTTCACCAAAAAGTGAAAGGAAGTGAGTTTTGTCTGTGGGAGAAGAAAGCTATATCAGGCTAAGGCCAGAGGAGCATGTGGGTTGATATCCACATGTGATTGTGTGTTATGTGGTTGTAGAAAAGGAGCTTTGGTGGTACATTTCTTGTTGGAGATGTTTGATGGTGCCTTTAGGATTCTTACTATTAGGGAAAAACCTTGGGGCTATTTTTTTATTTTATATTTTTGAGTGCAAGGGGTGCCTAAGGAAGAGTTTGTTGACAGACCTAGAATTGAACCAAGGTTGGTCATTAATTTTGAGTATGAACAAAAAAAAAGAAAAAAATAACAAGAATTTTAGTCTGAATTGAACCAAATTGAACTAAACTTTTGGTTGTCTATCTTATAATGAATATTTTAGAAATACTCATTTGCACGAAGCCACCAGCTAGTGCAAATTTTGTCTGTTAAAGGCTTATTGATCTGCTAAAATCAAGACTTAGCTCAAAAGATCTTGAGTTATACTAGTGATGCTTGGTAGGTGGCTCAGTGGAGTTGCCCTAGAACTTTCATAAAGAGCAACATAGATATTTCTTTATACTTACATGAAAGAAGTTCAAAATTTTAGCTGATGAATTCAACACCCTTCATTCAAAATAGTCTATAGAATTAATAAAGAAGTTGTTGACAAGCTTTCATACAGTTTTCTCTTTTTTGGATGTGTCTGGACACACACATGACAAAGTATTTAGAATTATTATTTTATGCTCTGACCAAATAGTTTCATCTTGCCCCATTTTAACATCTTGTTGCAGACATATGTACACACGTGTTTAGTCAGGTGTACATTAATAAATTTCCAATTCTTCTGTCATTTTACAGATCCAAAATGAAGGATATTATTTGTAATTGAGAGTTAAAGATGCTCTGCTAAATGCTCTTCTTATGGCTGCTAAAAGATTTAGTTCAGGCACCTCACAAATGCTTTCTCTTCTTTTTCCTGATTGGATCTGTGGGTGCTCTAATACTTGAAAGAGATGCAATTTTTGGGATATTCTGTCAGAAAGCTCGGTTGAATGTTAGATTTTGCTGATGCATCTTGTTTTTATTTTATTTTATTGTTTTGTTTTATTTTGGTGTTGTATTTATCATTTGAATGAAGTGTTTATTTATGTATATGTTTCGGGTTACTTAAAGAAGTGTTTGATTGAAAGTTGGTGTATCTTTGTGACAGCTTTTAACACAAATCTGTCTTGCACTCTCTGCTCTTATACTTCATGTTGTCGAGCATAGTAAACCTATTGTCCCTATGGAAAAGTCACTCCTTATTTTGTTGATGCTGACCTCTCTCTCTGGTTCTCAGTTTTACAAAAAAGGGCAGACATTACTAGAGCACCATTTTTTTTTGCAAATAGTAAGCTGTTTTCACCCTTCATTACCAATCGAACCAGCCAAAACACTGGCTTTTGGGAGGGGCAACATTAAACCATAGTAGCTTAGGCACAAGCAAATTGGATCCATGTCAGTCTTCAGCCCACCTTCAGCTATAGAACTTTGAGTTGAGAACATGGAAGCAAGATCAAAGACTTGAAAAAGAAGAGCATTCTCATCTCAAAAGGTGAAATCCTTAAAAATTTATTAAGTATCATGTTTTTCTTGTGTTTTGGATCTTGATTTTGGTGAGTCGTGCTCATTTAGGTATCATAGATTCATAGGTGTAGAGGAATAGGGAAGTGAATGATAGATATATCTGTAAGTTTTTGAATAAACTTGTATATTCAACTTGGATCATAACTGAATTTGAAAAGGATCTTAGGAATAAGGGTCATGCGCATCATGTGTAACGCCTCGTATTTTATTGCTCGGATAACCTTACTGATATTCATTAATTAAGTCTATTTACAAATAACATTTCATCCTTGGATGAAATGATGAATAATTAAATATACATATTCTCTCTCATTATACAACAATGACATTTACATACAAATAAAAGAAATGCCCTGAGGCTTACAATAAAAGAGAGGACACTACTCTTTACAAAAAAAATAGCACTCGGCCAAAAAACAAATGAAGTAGAACAATCCATCACTACATTACACTTATGACATGGCAAAAACCATTGTTTGGTCTTCAAATCTGAAAAGCATTCCCTATACACATGTACAGGCAGGAGGTGAGCAACCACTAGCTCACCAAACAATCCCATATTAAAACATTAGAGGATAATGTGAGTACCAAAATACTCATACACATACGTGAAATCATATCATGTCAAAACCATATGATTTTATTACATAATCTCTTAAATCCAATTTATTTAATTAACCACAACAAGTTACCTTAAATAAATAAACATGTTTCGATAGCAACAGGACCAATGTTTTAAAAACCGGACCGGTGAACGAACCAGAAAAGGCATCGGGTGGACGGGTCACCGGTTCAACCGTCGGGTTGAACCGGAATCGAACCGTGACGTAATAAATATATTAAAATTATATTTAAATAAAAATATAAGTAATAAAATTATAAATTAAAAATATTAAAAATATTAAATTATCTTAAATATTTGTCCTAATATTTTTTTTACTGAAAAATATAATAATATATTTTAAAATATTATTAATTTCAATTTTGGAAGATGAAATCAAATATTTAATATTCCCTCCATATGATTTTAATTCAAATAATTTGATTGAAAGGAAAACAAAAATTTTGGAGGGATATCAAAATTTCAATATTCCCTCCAATACATTTGATTGAATCCCACATGGATTTCTTGAGTTTTTTTGAAAGAGTTTTTTTCTTATAAATAGGTGAAGACTTTCACAATAATTTCATCAAACTCTTAATGGCATTCCTCACAAGAGGACAAGAGGAGACCCTTGAAAAAGAGTTTCAAATTAAAATTTTCTTATATTCTTATATTTTAAAATAAGAAAGAAAGAAAGAAAAGAAAGAAAGAAAATAAAAAAAAACAAAGAAAAAATTAAAACAAAATAAATTTGAAACCGGTCCGGTTCGATCAACCCGTGACCGGGTCGACCGGTTCACCGGTTTTCAAAAAATAGGCCGGTTTTTACAGTTGGCCGGTTTAAGGGGGCTGACCGGACCGGAACCCCATCCGGTCACCGGTTCAACCGGTTGAACCGGCCGGTCCGGTCCAGTTTTTAAAACCATGCTTGAGAGTATCATTTTCAAGGTAGTGAATTCAAAAGTCCGCATTTCACATTTTTTTTTTTCAAAAAAATAAACATAACTTCATCATCAACATATCACCTTTCATAAAATATCATGAATATAACACTTTTAGAGTTTTTAATCCTAAAACAACTCTATAATCCCAACTTAACAATTTACACAATATTCCTCAATATCAATTTATTTTCAAATTTTTTTTACAATCATACAACCTTTAAATTTTATTTTCGGATTTTTTTTTTACCAAATTAAAAACACAAAATGATTTTTCCAAAATCAATATCAAAATGCCAACATTCTTAACATTTCAACATAATTTTTCTTCCAAAAATTACCAAACAAAAATTTGAAAATTATATGTATATGTATATGCAATATCTCTTAAAATGACATGTTTTCTCAAAATAACCCTAACATAGCTTTAATGTAAAAATATGAAGAAAGTCCTTACCTCAAATAATGAAGAAGAGCAGATCTGCAAGGCACATCTTTCCCGATCATTAATCCGAGACTACCATTGTGAAGATCACGGCGAATTCTCTGACTTTCATTTACAAAATTTTTGCAAAATCTCACTCTAAAAACTTCCATTTGAAGCTCAAAGTTTGAGCAAAAATGAAGGAAAGAGAAAAGGGAGAGAGAGACATACAGAGAGTTAGAGAGGCAAAGGGTTCTGCCAAACAAATGAAATAAAATGGAAGGGAAGAAGAAATGATGGCGAGGAGACAAAAAGGGGGCCACCCTCATGGGTTTGTTCCCCAAAACTTGTTTTTTTTCTTAAAAAATATAATTTTTGTAATAATACCTTAAAATCTTATAACATAAATTATAAAATGATATAATTTTTCTCACCACAAAATATAATATTTTTTGTATACCACAAAATATAATATTTTGATCACTACAAAATATACATATTTTCATTCTTTATAAAATATATAATTTTTTGCCATATGGTACACACCATAAAATTAACTTTCAAATATTTATTATAATCCTATATAATAAATAATAACAACTCCTAAAGTGGTTACTACCAATCATCTAATTAAAAATGATCAAACAGTTAAACATGAGTCATTAAACAAACTCAATTTAAATTAAATTTAAATCATGGGTCTCACCCATAAGTCAAACATGGTCTAATTATATACCAAAAAAGTCCCAACAAATTTATCCAAATCATGATTTAAACATTCAAAATTAAATAGCATAATTTTGCTATAAATTAAACTGAACACCAATCAGTCCGTAAATTTTCATAAAATAAATACTCATCATTTAATTCTGAAATTCTTATCCAACGTGCTAGACTCATACGAATATATAAATATTTCATAATTTTCTGATATCGAGAACTATTTTTAAAAAATACAAAACGAACTGTTTTCGCACAGAATTTACATAGTAATTAAATTTGAAAATTTGCTCAATTAAATTATGCACAAACTATTTTAAAAAAATAAAAAAAAATTCTAGGTCATTACAATATGGGAACCCACTTTGGTTTCTTCCTGGCATATCTACCTATGTGCATTTCTCTCATAATGTTTTCTTTTTAGCAGCTTAATTTCATTTTTGATAAGTTCGTAGTTGGTGTTTCTAGGTGGAACTGGTTCTTTTTTTCTGTGTGGAGATGGGCTTTTCTTCAGTTATACCTGTTGGTCACGATGATGGAGGCCTAATTGCCTTAAAAGCTGCACAGAGCCCATGCATCACCAAATTCTGTCAATGTGAGTACCACCTACTTGGTTTATGTGCCAATTACACATCTTTGAATTACTGAATAATGAAACCATTATCTTGCCTCAAATGATTTCCTACAATTTTTTAAGATTTATGCATCACAAGAATATTAATCTTATTTTGTGATTAGGCGGGACATGATTCGAACCTGCAATTCGCTTATGGGAAAAGGACCCCCTTTTATTTTTATTTTTAGTCCTTTACTTAAAAAGAATTTTTTTGAAAATCAGTTAAAAGCTGCACAGAGTCTTATTGAACTCATGTTAAAATTGTGAATTTAATAAACACCATTTTTAGACACTAAAAACAAATAAACATAATACAATGAATTAATCAAATATATGTCTTTAATTTTACACAGTGTAGGCTCATTCTTGGGCATAGTATTTTTTATTTTTATTTTTTTTGTGTGACTTGGTAGTGGAACTCTTTGAAGAAAAGTGTGAGGTGTTTCCTGTTTGTAAATTATTTTCTTAAATAATTAAGTCCAAATTTTACTATAGCTAAGTTGTTGGTTATAGTAAAATTTCTGTTGAACTTGCAATTTTTGTGGATAAAGTGATATTTTGTTTTTATATGTTTCATGTTCTGCTATAGGTATTTAATGTTAAGACATTTGAAGGGGTGTGATCAGTCGGACTTTGTCTTTTGTAAGACAATAACAATCTCTACAAAAATAGTGAGTTTATTCATATGCTTCTAGTTGTTTCTGAATTAATTTGTATTTTTATTTTTTAGGTCAGAAATTTCTTGGAGAGGTGCAAAATATAGTCAAAGAATTCAAAAACTTAGTTTTTCAAGTTTTTTTTCATTTTTTAATATATGTAAGCACAGTTTAAAACTTTTTATTTAATTTATTTGTATCTACTTTTAAACATATTTAACTTTTATTTATGAAATATATGACGTTATTCCATTCAATATATGGTTGTGATTTAAAATATAGTATATAGTGTGTATTGCATTCTTCAAATGAGCGTCCTAAAATAATATTGATTATTCTTCAAATCAATATTAATCACAGGTTTTATTAGATATTAATGACATTTAAATCTGTGATCTAAATGTTTATTATCACAAATTTTATTAGTTATTAATCACACTTAAAAGATGTGATCTAAATGTTATTAATCCCACTTAAAAGATGTGATCTAAATGTTATTAATCGCAATTAAAAGATGTGATCTAAATGTTATTAATCATACTTAAAAAGTGTGATCTAAATGACCCCTTTTAATCACACTCCCAAAGATTATACTTTA